TTGATATTTATCAAAATAATTGAATTTTTAAAAAAAAATTTGCTATTTATAGATAATTGAATTTTTGACAATAAATTCTTTAAAATTTTTAAAAATAATCCAATTTCTTAGAAGAATGTTATTTCTTTTGAAAATAATTGAATTTTTGTGGTGAATATTGTTGTTTATAAAAATAATTTAATTTTGCAAAAAATTTCTTAAGATTCCTCAAAATAATTAAATTTTTGTGAAGAATTTTGTTATTTATCAAGGTAATTGCGTTAAAACTTTTGAAATATTTGAATAATATTAAAAAATTAATTCTTGTTGGAAATAGAAAAAATGTTAAATGTTTTGTATTAGAATTCGTGGTAGATTCATAATTTATGAGGCAAACAAAAAAGACTTCAGAATTTTCTTATGAATTCTAAAAATTTAATTTTTTCCAGTACTTTTAATAAAAATTCAAATAGAAGGGACTTTTCATACTTAAAAGCTCAAGTTCAGCTATCGCATTGTCTATTACTTCGTTTATACGATTTCCAGGTTCTCTTTCTGCAACTCTTTCATGCCTATTACCCCTTGGACGTCTAATTGCTCTTCTTTCATTAGGTTCAATCAATCTTGGGAGTTCAGGATTTTGTATTTCATGAGGAGCTGTTTATAATACTTTATTAATACAATTAATACAATAAATTAGAATAAATATAAAAAAATATAACCTAACCACGATTCTCGTTATTCTCAGGTCTTAACATTTGATTGTCTACGACAGGCAATTGAGCAGCAACTAAATAAATAAATTACATAATTAAATAACAAATAATTAAATTTAATATTCTTTAATAATTAATATTTTATATCGTATATAAGTATTTACATCTACCTATGGCATTATTTTCTTCTCGTCTTCTCACAGATATTTCCATGATTAAGGAGTGATTATTATTAATGTTTAACTCAATGCGTTGCAACATTTTTTCATTAAATACTCTTTTAGATTAAAGAAAATGTTACAATTGTGTTTTTCCCAACCTCTGACAGACTAGTAATTTGAACTAGGCTATTATTTGAAAATCTATCTTAAACAAATATGTTACCATAGAAACTTATACAACTACAGTTTCAAAAGGTTTTTTATGCTCTTTCGATTGGAAATAAGCCTTTTGAAAAAAAAAAATTTTTTGACAAAAAAAATCAAAATTAAAAATAAATTTTAATTTTGGGGGGAAGGATACGATTTTTTTTAAACGAAAGTTGAGATTTTTTACTAAAAGAACATATATATGCAAACAATATATATATATTTGCATATATATATATATATGCAAAAGTGGGCCTAGAATGTTTAAACATTAAACAAAAAATTTCTACTGACCGGAGAGCTAAAAACCCAGTTTTTGGCTCTGTTTGGTAGAAATCTCATTTTTTAGTGTTTAAACATCCTAGGCCCACTTTTATATATATATATATATATATATATACAAAAAAAGAAAATAAAGAGAATGTGTACACACACTTTCCCAGTTCTAAAAAAGTGATGAACGATGATTTCAATATCACTTCACGCACTTGTTGTTTGTATAAATATTTTTTTAATTTTAAAATCTTGGAAAAAGATTGCAGCTTGCTCAAGAAAAACCTTTGACACTACACAACAGGAAGAAAATGGCCGTTTAGTGTTACCGAAAGTGAACGCTAAGAGCGCTCCTTCGCGTCACCTGACTTTTAGTAATTCAAATAGTAAAAACTACTTATCAAAAAAGTAAAATTTCTTACTAATTTCAATTAGTTATATTTTTGCGTCGACATTCTACTAATTCATTAGTCATAGTTCATGAAACTACTATTTCATTAGTAAAATATTATACTACTAATTTAAATAGTAAAAATTCTACTAACACAGTGCAACAGCATTTTTATTTCTGGAATCGCATAGGGTGATTTTTATAGGTTTTTTGATGCCGAACGCGAATCCGTAATCAGAATTGTTTCATCACCATAGATTTTTGAGAAATTTGACCTTGAAAATTGAAAAAAGGCCGTTTTTGATGTACTTTTTGGTTTTTTATCAGGGTATAAAAATTTTTTCTAGGGTTTTCATTATATGCGTACGAAAGCCCATATCCTCCTTAACAATTTTCAATCTGGACCTTTCAAAAATATCTATTTTTCGATGAGTTATCTTTGTTTGAAGTTCGCGTCGCATCGTAAAATCAGCAAAAATGCCGTTTTTGAGGTATTTTTGTGTTTTTTATCAGGGTACAAAAATTTTTCCTAGTGTTTCAATGATGTGCGTACGAAAGCTTATATCCTTCTCAACAATCTCCAATTTTTTACATTTTAAAAATATCTATTTCTCGATGAGCTATCCTTGTTTGAAGTTCGCATCGTAACGTCAAATGGGATAACAGTGAGAAAAATATTAACATAATATTAATATTATCAATATTAACCTATTAAATCTCAAGAAGATACCATTATTCATTAAAGAAACTATTACATTCTTAGGAAAATCAAAAATAAATTGACCATTGTTTTTTTTGTTTATCATTTCAAATTTTTTAACAATAATTTAACAAAAACAAAGAAAACTCATCGAAAAATAGATATTTTTAAAATGTTTAAATTAGAGATTGTTGAGGAGGATGTGAGCTTTCGTACGCAAATCATGAAAAACCTAGAAAAAATTTTTGTATCCTGATAAAAATCCAAAAAGTATCCCAAAAACGTCCTTTTTTCAATTTTCAAGGTCAAATTTCTTTAAAACCTAGGGTGATGGAACAATTCTGATTACGGATTCGCATTCAGCATCAAAAAAGATATAAAAATCACCCTATGCGATCCCAGAAATAACAAAAAAGTGAAATTCTGTTGCACTGTGTAATTCAAATTTAGAGAGTTCTTAAACAAATTGATATTAGAGTTCTCTTTTCTTATTTCTGACACCAGTTTTTTAAGGACCAAAGTCTAGAGTATTTGTAATTTAAAAATAAATATAGTCTTAAATATTAATTATTTGTAAATAAAATTAAATGCTCGATGCCTTTCTACGCGTGCAATGATACACATGCAATGAGCAGCAATATCGCAGGCACTGTGCGTGCACTATTCTAGCCATCACGTATGCATGTTGAGTGCAGTCGAAATGCATACGTTATCGCCCGCATTAAGTGCCTCGCACACTGCGTGCGGGACATGCGACGCACGATTGATGTCTGGGGTGGAAAAAACTGAAAACCCAGGATTCCATGGGGCTATTTTGTGCACTTAAAAAAATCAAATATTTTTCATAAATGTTTTATTTAGTAAGTAAAAAAAGTTTCTGTATATCATTTTTATACATTTTTGTCTTACTTTTCTGTCAAAAAACTGTAAATACGTTAATTAAAATCATTAAAACGATTAAAAGCTCAACCGGTGCGCAATGTAACCTCAAAAAATGAACATTAATTAACCCATTAAGGACCAGACGGACGAAAAATTTGAATTGAATTTGAGGACCTCGTTTTTTATTAAAATGCATATAAAAAAATTGGCACATACCATTTTTAATGTAAAATTTACTCATCTTTCAGATTCTGCTGTTAAAATTTGTATTTACCAAATTGTTAAAAAGTTATTTACAATTTTTTCCAAAAAAACACGACTTTTCGAGAGAAAAATTTTATTTCAGACGTATTTTCACCGATAAAATGTAGGTAGATACTCTTAAAAGTTCAAAATATCGCGTCCATGGACCCTTAGCTACAAAACCCTGAAGCGATCAATTTTTTTTCAAAATAGCGGACGCTAATATGGCGGCTAAAACTAAAAAAATGGCTCACATATGATACATAGTGTTCTCACTTTTTCAAGTTACTAAAATCGACTGAAACTCGTTACTCGGGGGTTCTTGAGGTCGCTGATTACGAATATGATGTCAGTTTTCAAAAATTCAAAATAGCGTATTCAATATGGCGAACGAGTTTTGTACAAATTAATTAGATTCACCTTAAACTCTCTACTCGGGGGTTTTTGAGGTCGCTGATTACGAATATGATGTCAGTTTTCAAAAATTCAAAATAGCGTATCCAATATGGCGAACGAGTTTTGTACAAATTAATTAGATTCACCTTAAACTCGTTACTCTGGGGTTCTTGGGGTCGCTGATTACAAATATGATGTCTGTTTTGAAAAATTTAAAATGGCGGATCAGTTTTGTAAAAAAAATTTGGATTCACCTGAAACTCTCTACTCGGGGATTTTTTGGAGGCGCTGATTACAAATATGATGACACTTTTTAAAAATTTAACCATTAAAGCGCACCCTGGGTGTGCGACACTCATATTCTAGCATTTTACTCTAATATCTTGTTTAAATTCGTAAAAATTGAAAATGTATCGCTATTGGACGGTACATTTTGTACATAACTTTATGTTCCGTGAGTGACATTATTCTTTCAAGTGTCTTTGTGTATTTTACAACTTTATGAAGTTGACGGCAAAAAATTTCTATGTGGCTGACGCCCAGTTATCGGTTTAAGGTAATTTCAGTAGTTTAAGAAATTTTTTTGTAGATATTAAGATTAAATAAATTATTGTGAAACCTATTTTTCTTTAAAATAGATGTACTGAGCTACAGTAAATAATTTTCATAAAAGATAATATCCTATTTTAGCTTGGAGAACACACAGTAGAGTCCCCAGGTGTTGCACACTCAGTGTGCGGTTTAAGGATGGATTCTTATACGGAAAGAAAAAAAACAAGGCTTTTCCCCGTGCCTTCAATTCATGCCTTTTTTAGGTAGTAGTTTCACTGGATTCCGTTAGTTAAAATTTGAGATAATAATTTGATATTAAAGGCATTGTGGACTATTAAAAATAATTGAATTTAAATAATAAAAATAATTTCAAAAAACTTAAAATAAATCCTAATTTCTATGGAAAAATAATGATTTAATATTTATTTAAAAAAGAAGTTATTGTTGTTTTCGAATAATTTTTCATAATAATTTTTGCTAGTCAATGATGTGGGCGATCCATGCGGTCCCCTCACGTGGGCCCTCAAGGATTTGCCCTCATGTGAGTTTTATATTTTTCAAAAAGTAATATTAAATATTTGTTAAAAAAGTATTTTTTATTGTTTAAAATCATTATAAACATTAATTTTTTGTTTTAAAAAAAATTTTTCATTGGACTTAGAAATTTTTGCTAGTCAATATTGTGGGCGATCCATGCGGGCCCTCAAGGATTTGCCCTCATGGATCAGCCCTCGTCGGCCCTTTCCGGGGGCCCTCACGTCATGTGGGCTTGATGGGGCCTTTTTCACACGGGTTCAGTTTCTTTATTATTTAAAATAAAATTATGTTTAAAGCTACTTTATATAAAAAAATGGAAATCTGTTTTTCATCTCCAGGAAAATAGAATCGCATGAATGATTGTTCTACTTTTTCTAAATATAAAATAATTCCTACATTAAATCCAATCCTAATTGTATTTTTCAAAATTAATTTTTATCCACTGCTTTTTTAATTCTTTTCCTCTTCTAATTCATTTATTCGAATTTACTAAATTTTAAATCAACTCTTCCTTGTATTCTAATTATATTTTAAAAAATTAGATACGTCACATGCTCTGACAGCAGGACTCCTGTAGGCTGCCCTGGAACTGGGCGCTATTATGGAACTGGAAAGGAGGACAAAATTGATAATAAAAATTTCAAACCAAAAAGGCCTCATTGCAAAGATTGTAAAGAGAAAATCACGGAAGGTGAATTTTTGGCTGAACTCCATGCACAATCACTGACAACTGTTAGTGATCATCGTTTAGCTTACGATGAGGCAATAAGAGGGTGATTGAACAAATTCAAATTATTTCGTATTCTATTTATTTCTTATTTAAAAGTATTAAAGTTAAATTACAATTTTAACTTTTGGATTATGCAGGCATCCAGATGTAAAAAATGTCACTTATGATTCCAAAAAGTGTACAATGGCTAGGTGGGCAAAGGGAGAGGCACCTCCAATCGCAAATGACATCTGCAAATTGGCCTTTACCTTAAATAGTGAAGCCTGGAAAAAACGTCTTTCTTTTAATTTAGCTGTTGAGGGAGAAAAAGAGGGAACGAAAATTTATAAGAAGGTCTCGTTTAACGTCGTAGACAAACGGGATGTTAATTCTCTTCCTGTGGTTATTTTGTACCCCAAAAAAATTTCAGAGGAGGCAAAAATGGCACGTTACGCCTTTATGGATGGGACGTTCCAGTGCATCCCACACCTTTATGGAGTATTCCAGTTACTGACGTTTGGTGTTGAATCTTTTGGCATGGTAGGTACACCTATACTGATTAGGATAGAGTAGCTCGTGCAGAAAATGCCCCACTTTGCCCTATTTAAAACAGGGTTCTGGTCAGGGCCTCGACAGTTTTCCCTATTAACATTTTTTTTAATAAAGTTTTTAGAATTCCTTTTTGTTGTAGAAGCTATTAACAATGAAAGGCAATCATTATTTTAGTTATTTAATAATTTTTTTATTTAAGGGGTTTGACTAGAATTCCTAGCCAGAACCCATGGTAGGGTGTTCATTAGATTTTAGATAGGGTACTGATCAGGGCCTCGACAGTTTTCCTTGTTTAAATAAAGTGTAAATGAATTAAGTTTTTTAAATTAGTTCCCATAATAAAATTATAAACAATTGAAGAAATTAATTAAACGGAGTAATTATACTACATGTTTAAGAATTTTTTTATCTTATGGGTTTGACCAGAAATTCTGGCCAAAACTCTAAATGCGGTGTTCACTAGATATGAAATAGGGCTCTGATCAGGGCCTCGACAGTTTTCCTCGTTTTAAAAGCATGTAAATAAATTTAATTTTTTAAAATTAACTTTTTTAAAACAGTTATTTAAGTTAAAAAAGCGTGTTCTTTTAAAACACTTTATAAAATAATTATGGTAATATATTTAAAAAACGAAAATACATATAATTTTTTTTTCTTTTAGTACAATATTATAATAAAGTTTATTTATTAATAAAAACAACTAAATTATAAATAACGAATAATAATAGTTATTAAATAATTAATTATTATTCATTTATTTAAAAATAAAAATTATGAATTTAAAAAATAATAATTAATTAACAATTATTAATAAATTATACAATGAATTTTAATAATTATTAATTTATAGGATGAATTTATCATTTGGTTTGTATATATACTATATTATTTTAATAATAATTATTATTTTATATTATATTAGCTTAAAGTGAGAAAATGATTTGAAGAGATTGTTAAATTTAATACCTTCAATATTTAATAACTATTTTTTAAACATAATTAATAAATTTCAATAAAATATTTATTAAATAAATATTAATTATTACTTATACATTTAAAAAAAATTATAACCTTCATTAATATTATAAAATTAAGGAGGCAAAAAGGAGCGACAAACTCCAAAAAAAAAAATGAATTAATCATAAAACCAAAAATTATATTTTTAAAAATTTTTTAAGTGTTTCTATTCTTGAAATTATATTATTTTTATCATTTTCACTTTTAAATTAGTCAAAATCACTATAATACCTCATTATCTTATGTATAAATATGTTGTATATATAATGAATATGTTCATTATGTTTCTAATATAATAATATTTTTAATTACAGTAATTTTATTGTAATTTCTTTTGAATAAAATTAACCTTACAAAATAGGGCAATTTTAAGAAAAACTGGCGAGGGTCTGACCAGTTTTTCCCTAAGTAGGGCATTGGTCGGGAACAGCGTCGCACACAAGTCGGGCACTGGTCAGTTTCTCTACCCAAAGCCACACCAGAGATCGGGAAAACTGTCCAGTACTCTATCAGGCCCACATTTTAATTTCTGCACGGGAGGTTCAGTTGACCAAATTTTATCCACAATAGTTTGTTCTCCTGTAAGGTTCATCTTGCGTTTACATCTTAATTGAATATCTTTCTTCTCCACAGTTCGTCCCAATAATGTACGCATTAATGACGTCAAAATCAGAAGTGCAATACAATGCTGTACTCTCGACATATTAAGGATTGATCACCAGGGCTGTAGATTTCACAGCGTAAAAGTAAATATAAAAAACAAGAGTAAATGATTGTGAGAGATAATTGGGATCGAAAATAGTTTCAGTGTGGTAAAAGTAACTAGAAATTGATTTGAGGGTAATGAGAAACTACAGATTATCGTGAAGGTAAATTGATAGTGAAGTGGGAGTAAAAAGCACTTGCGAGTGAGAGTGAGGCGTGTTTGCAGTGGAAAAGAAGTGTAATAAAACTGAGGTGTCAGTGAAAGTGAAGAAAGAGTGTAATGAGATTGTAATGATAGTGGAGTGGAAGTGAAACGGTCTTAAAGTGAGAGTGAGGCGTGTTTGCAGTGAAAAAGAAGTGTAATAAAACTGAGGTGTCAGTGAAAGTGAAGAAAGAGTGTAGTGAGATTGTAATGATAGTGGAGTGGGAGTGAAATGCACTTGCGAGTGAGACTCGAAGTGAGAGTGAAGCGTGGTTGCAGTGAAAAAGAAGTGTAATAAGACTGAATCGACTAGGAGTGAGGTGACAGGGAAAGAGGTGTATGAGTGGAGTGACAGTTTTTTTAATGTTTTCTTTTGCAAAATCTTGCTGCAGGCTATTACAAGAAACGAGGATAGACTGGGAATATCGACTTTGGAAAAGGATAGTTTGAAGCTGAGAAATTACGTGGCAAAGCTTAAATTATTGTCTCTTCTTCCTGCGCTCGAAATTTCTCAAACGTACGAGAGGCTTACTAATGAGTTTCTATATGAAACAAGAAGTGCTGATTCTGGGTTAAAGCTGAAAGTTGAAGGATTTGTAGACTACTTTGACAAGCAGTGGATCCACAAAGTCCATCCAGAGGATTTTTTGGTGTATGAGAGCATGCACCGAACAAATAATATTCTGGAGCGGTTTAATAAAGAGCTAGTAAAATTTGTTGGTAAAAAATCTTCTCCAGTCCATTTCTTAGGTAATTATAAAAGTATTATTATATTTATAAATAAACATTAAACGACTTTATTACACCTCTATTGTCAATATTACATAAAAGATGTTTAAATACACCATTGTATAAATATAAGTTAACCGTTTGGAACAAGTTGTTAACATAAATTACACAGCCACACAAAAAAAATAAAAAGTTCTGATCTGGGGGTCTCACTATGTAGACTTTATGTTTTTTGGGACGCTGAATCCGAATCCGAGGTCCATTTAACCCCATCAGATCAGGATTTTGACATAACCTCAAAAAACCAATATGGCGGACACATTTTTGAAAATATCATCGGATTCGCTTGAAATTCGTTACTCGGGGGTTTTTGGGGTCGCTGATTACGAATTTGAAGTCAGATTTCAAAAATTCAAAACGGCGGATCTAATATGACGGACACGTTTTTGAAAAATTCATCAGATTCGCTTGAAACTCGTTACTGGGGGGTTTTTTGGGTCGCTCATTACGAATTTGAAGTCAATTTTAAAAATTCAAAAAGGTGCATCCAATAAATGTGTTCTTTTAAGGAATTAAGAACTTGAGTGATTCAATTCACACGGAATTACTTTATATCTTACGTGTGCCTGCATCCAGGGCACCTCCACGAGGTGACGGTGGGCAACAGAGTTTGTCCGCTATCCGGCTAAGACCCTGGGTAATGGCTTTGATGCCGTCACGGGAGACACACGTAGAAAACGTGCTACGATGCAGGGACTCGGAACCCCAGTATCGGCGGTTTATTAGATGCACCATTTTGAATTTTTGAAATTGACTTTTAATTCGTAATCAGCGACCCAAAAAACCTCCGAGTAACGAGTTTCAAGCGAATCCGATGAATTTTTCAAAAACGTGTCCGACATATTTGATCCGCCATTTTGAATTTTTGAAATCTGACTTTAAATTCGTAATCAGCGATACTAAAACCCCCGAGTAACGAGTTTTAAGCGAATCCGATAAATTTTTCAAAAAAGTATCCGACATTTTGAATTTTTGAAATCTGACTTCAAATTCGTAATCAGCGACCCCAAAAACCCCCGAGTAACGAGTTTTAAGCTAATCCGATGAAATTTTCAAAAACGTGTCTGACATATTGGATCCGCCATTTTTAATTTTTTAAATCAGACTTCAAATTCGTAATCAGCGACCCCAAAAAACCCCCGAGTAACGAATTTCAAGCGAATCCGATGAACTTTTTAAAAACATGTCCGCCATATTGGTTTTTTGAGGTTATGTCAAAATCCTGATCTGATGGGGTTAAATGGACCTCGGATTCGGATTCAGCGTCCCAAAAAACATAAAGTCTACATAGTGAGACCCCCAGATCAGAACTTTTTATTTTTTTTGTGTGGCTGTGTTATCATCTTTTTCACGAACAACTTTTCTTACTATATACAATGTTTTTAAAACAATTTTAATAACATTTTACCATGGACAGAAAAGTGCAGCAAGCTGAATTGTAAACAATTCTCCGCTAAATACCGGGCTAAATATAAATATCTAAAAAAAATTTCCTAATTCAATATGGCGAATCTATTATAGCAGACGAAAGTTACTAAAAGTATTTAATTACCGCAAAATTTGCTATATATGGCATATGGCGGTGCTAACCAAGATTGCAGAAGTGGATTTTCTAAATTCAAAAGAGGGGGAACCAATTTGGTGGATGAAAAATTACTAAAAGTGCTCGATTACAATAAAACTAATCATAGGTTTTTGGGGGCGTAAGTTACGAATCAATATTAGCGTTTCTTCTTTAAATTCAAAATTATCAGATTTGATCTTAAGGGGTTCTTCGAAATGCTGTTCACAAATCAAATTCATCACAAATCGAATCAATTAGTTGACAAAAATGAATACAACGTATTTTTCAATATCCCAACTATACAGTTTTTTCCGTGTAATCTGCAGGTAGTCTCCATTAGGGACAAGTATCTTAAAATTTAATTAAAACCACAAATATGTACTGCAAAAGATTAGACACATAATTTACACTTTTTTTGCTCTTGGTACTTCCATCTCCATTTTCGAAATATTTAATATCCTTTTTAAACGTCTTCCTATTTCCAGACAATCTAACAAAACTGACTGGCCAGGTTTACCAAAACCACATCAATCTGTCCAGTCTCCATTCTCCTTCCCAGAAGTTAACTCCTGAAGAGAAACAATTCGAAAAAATAATTTTGAACGGCTGGTCAGTCATCAGAAAAGCTTTGCTCTCCAATGATCCTGCTACAATCCAACAAAAAATTGATGAATTCTTGACAGTTTGTGTGAGAGGGACAAATAATGATTTGAAGATGCTTGTCGATAAAGGTTATTCAAATTAATATTAAAATTATCTGCTACTAAAATTATCAAATACATCATAATGTTACAAAACTCTTTCAGCCCAGCGTAAAATCCCCATACAGGATCCTTAAAGGATCCTCTCGGGATCTTGTGCAGAATCCCGTATCCGTCCTGTACAGGATCTCGACCGGATCCCGTAGGGGGTTTTGGGACAGGGTTCCTGTGCAGATTCCGATGCAAGAACCTCGATATCAAAGGTTCCTGTACAGAAACACTTGCAGGATCCTGCTCAAAAACTTTTTAAATTTTTATATGTTAAGCAACATTTGAGATACATAGACTTCATATGCGCAGGAGTTAAAGATATAAATAAATTAATTGAGGGAACCGTGTAGAATTTAACCCCAGGTTCCTTACAGGATCCTCAACACTTAAGTACCTGCAGTTTACAAAACTACAAAAGTTCCTGTACAAGAAACTTTACCGGAACCTTTGTTCCAAAACCCCGTACGGAACTTTAAAATGTAGGGTGTAGGAGAACAAATGTAGGGTCTACCGATTCGAATTAGAGCCTCCTTTAGTTCTCAAAATGAAAGACTTAAAGTAGGGCTTAAATTTCGACTCGGGATCTATCCGTGCAGAAATCTTAGCGATATTTCCAGTTTCCAATCCCTCTTAGTCTTTCCCAATCTTTGCGAATTTTTATGAGGCTCTCTTGATCTCTTAGTTTCTCTCATTTTCTCAAAATCTATCTTAGCCTTTTTCTGATTCTTAATACATTTTATAATAATGACAATTATGATTTTACTTTAGATTTAGTAATGGAACTGGAAGATGACAAGTGAAAGTAAACACAAGGAACCTCCAGCTCCCAATCTCCCAGCAGGTAAAGTTTTTTATTTGAAGTTGAGTCGAAAACACCCTATCACACATATTCTAAACATATAAAAAAAAATACGTAACAATTCAAGAAGATGTAATTGGTTTCTGCAAGTTTTTGAAACATGATGGGGGGATGTCAAAGTGGATGTGATTTTTACACAGAACTTCACATGTCTGCTCTCATATAAGGTTGGTTCCAGAATGAGGCAAAACGCAACGAAGACGCGACGCGTCCCAATGATAACTAACTTTATTCTCTAACTTTCTCTAACTTTATTCTCTTACTTTATTCGGAATTTGAAAACTATTCCTAAGGCAGAATTTATATCTCATATACTGACATATAATTGGACAGACATATACTCTGAACCGGATATTAACCGTAAGGTTTTTAACCTTACTTCTTATATAACTTCTGCCTTTGATAGGTTTGCACCTTTTCATTTTCCTGCTTTTAAAAAAAGATATTCACCTTGGATGACTGATGAAATAAGAAAATTGATAAAAGATAGAAATAGACTCCGCAGAAGATTTATAAGAGGTGGGGATATTGTCGATCGGGTGAAATTTAAGAAAATTCGCAATTTAGTCCAAACTAAAATTAGGGATGCATATAATAAATATAATTATAACGTAATAAAAAATACTAATAACTCTCAAAATGTTTGGCACGTGTTGCGAAAACTCAATCTAATTTCTGATAAGAAAAAAGTAACTGGTATTAATTTTCAAGTGCATGAATTTCTAAATGTTTTCTCCTATACAAACTCTAAGGTGCCCTGCTCCCTCTCTGCTGCACATGTTTCAAATAATATTAATATTTTTGATGATAATAAATTCTTTTTTTCCGATATCTCTCCAGAAATCTTTCTTAAAACTCTTGCTTCTATTAAATCTAAGGCGATGGGCCCTGATTGTATATCCGTTGAGATGATTGGGTTGACTCTTCCAGTCATCTTTCCTGTTCTGATACATATATACAATTATTCCCTTCAAACAGGAATATTTCCAGATATATGGAAAATGAGCGATGTTCGTCCAATACCTAAAGTTCAAAGTCCAAAATCACTTACTGACTATAGACCTATTTCCTTGGTATGTACTATGTCTAAGCCTTTTGAAAAAATAGTATGCAAGCAGTTAACAGAGTTTTTAACATCCAATGATTTATTAGAGCCTCTGCAATCGGGCTTTCGCTCTAAACATAGTACATGTACTGCTTCATTAAAATTCTTAACTGATATTGAACTCGCTATGGACTCAAAACAGGTCACTGTCGTAGTGTTTTTCGATTTTTCAAAGGCATTTCCTTCTGTGAATCATAGTTTGCTAACTAATAAGTTGTATTCTTTTAAATTATCTAAATCAGTCTGTAAATGGTTCGAGTCTTATCTGAGTTTTAGATTTCAGAGGGTGGTTGATGGGTGTGGTAACTTCTCTGAGTGGGACAATGTTAAATGCGGTGTTCCACAGGGTGCTTCACTCTCATCGTTGCTTTTGAATTTGTTTATCTCAGACTTGGGGAATGGATTAAAATATTGTAAATATCATAAGTATGCTGATGATTTTAAGTTTTATTTATCTGGTCCATTGTCGTTGCTCCCAGACTTGTTAAAAAAGATACAAATCGATATCAATTATGTTGTACAGTGGGCAAGCGAGAATGGACTTGGTCTCAACTCTGATAAGACTCATGCCATGCTTATAAAATCATCCATTAATTCTTCAACTGCAACTTTTCCCCCTCTTATGGTAGGAGAGAACCCTATTGTTTTTAAAGAAACAGTTAAGGATTTAGGATTAATGTTAAACTCTAATCTATCATGGAAGGAACATGTTGGTAACATTACTCGTAATACATACATGATATTACAGCAACTTAATAGAAGCAAGGACTCACTCCCAACTGAAACTAGACTTTTACTTGTCAAATCACTTATTCTCCCATTTTTTGACTATTGCTGCCCAGTTTATGATGATATTACGGTTGACTTAAATTCTAAACTGGACAGATCTTTAAATGCTTGCATACGATTTGTTTATAATCTACCCAAAAGTGAGCATATTTCAAATTTCAGGGTAAAAGCTGGTCTATTAAATGTTGCAACTAGGAGACAATATTTCATGGGAAATTTACTTTACTCTATTATTAATAATAAAATCCCTAGGTATCTTTATGATTTCCTTGAATTCAAGAATACTAAAGAAATGATTAATGGTAAACTCCGCGAAAGAAAATCGGTTTTAAAAATACCTTCTCATCGTAACTGTAAGATGCAAAAGACTTTTATAGTTAGAAGTGTTAGGCTTTAGAATAAAATACCAGCTAATATTAGAGATGCGTCGAGTCAATTCATATTTAAAAAAATGTTTTTTGATTTCTTAATGAAATGTAATAATAACTTGTTTAATATAACATATTGGTAAAATTGTTTTTTTTGTGATTTAGATTATGTAAAATTCTTTTGTTATAGCTAAATATTTCAGAAATAATCAATATTATAATCGTTCTTGTTACTACATTAAATACCATTCGAAATATAATATATTTTTTGTTATCTGCCGAATTAAATTTTTATATTTATGTATTTGTTCCTTAGAGGGCTTTCAGCCCTAGGAACTCGATTATTGTTAAATAAATAAATAATCAAATGGGGACGCGTCGCGTCTGCGTCGAGTCCATTCTGGAACCAACCTAAAGTCCAGTTGCAAAACTCAAATATTTCAATGTCGCAAAAACCTATATTCGAAATTATTCAATGTCTTTAGGTATTTTATATGAAAAAGTTTAAATTTAAGAATTAAATATAAAATATTAAAAAAATCGTATAGATTTTTCCATTGACACTTTTTGTAAAAATCGCATCGACAATGATGAAGTAATGGTGAAGAAGGATTCTAGTGAGAGTGAAATGTGAGGGTGGTGAAATGGAGGTAAAAGTGAAGCGAATAAAAGGTGTAGATGTAGTGAAGTAAACGTGTAACAAGAGTACAGTGGCAATAAAGTGAGAGTAAACTGAATTTAAAGCGTAAATGAAGTGAGGTGAGAATGAAGAAAAGTGTAATTGAAGTGAATGTGAAGCATGAGTGTAAGGAAAGTTGAGTTGACGGTGATGTTACAGTGAATTAAGAGTGAAGTAAGTATGAAGTGTTGATGTAGAGAAAGTGAATTAAAAGTAAGGTGAAGGTTATAAGAATGTCAAGTACGAGTGAAAATGAGTGAAGTAAAAGTGTAAAGAGATTAGAGAAACTGGTGGATAATTTTATTAGACAGGAATGTCTTAGAGATTTTCCCCTGCATCAGGGACAGCATGCATATAGAGCAGGCTTCTCAGTAGAAACAGCCCTCCATTCGGCAGTAGGCAGAATAGAGGGACAAATTAGCAGCGGGGGTTATGCGGTTGGCACCTTTCTTGATATCGAAGGTGCCTTCCCTAACACTTCTAGTAAAGCCATTTGTAGGGCAGCCAGGATGCGAGGTGTGCCCGAGCCGCTAGTTAAGTGGATCGACAGCATGCTTCGAGAAAGGGCCCTGGAAGCGGAATATGGTGAGGCTAAGTTAACAGGCCTGGTCTCAAAAGGGTGCCCACAGGGTGGAGTCCTTTCTCCTTTATTGTGGTGCTTGGTGGCAGATGAGTTAATTAGGAACCTCAATAGCCAGGGTTATTATACGCAAAGTTATGCGGATGATTTCCTTATAAGAGGGCACGCAATCGAGACCCTCTTAGAACTTACGGAACGTGCACTTAAGATTGTCAGGGATTGGTGCAATCTGACTGGACTTTCTGTAAACCCGGAGAAAACGAACATAGTAGTTTTCACAAGAAAATATAAGGTACCGAGTTTGAAAAAACCGATATTTTATGGAAAAGAGATTTCCTTTTCTGAATCGGCTAAGTATCTGGGAGTAATACTGGATAAAAAACTGGTTTGGAGGGAACATTTCGAATATCAGTATGGCAGGTTTTGTACCGCGTTTTGGGCGTGTAGAAGGGCGATAGGGTCATCGTGGGGACTAAGGCCTAATATGGTCAACTGGCTCTATCAGATGATCTTAAAACCAAGGTTTCTTCACGCGGTGGTTGTCTGGTGGTCTAGGACTCAACTGATAACAGTTAAAGAGAAACTAGGCCAACTGCAGGCAATGATTTTCAGGGGTATTACGGGGGCAATGGGGACCACGCCAACAGCTGCGTTGGGATTCATGCTTGCCGAGGTACCTCTGCATATTGCCGCGGTGAAAAAGGCGGCTCTTACTATCAGCAGGTTAACTGCGCAGGGAAGGTGGAGGGTTGGTGGTTTACACACCAAGCTTCCACGCTCAATTCTATCAATACCAGAATTAAGTATGGTGCAAGATAGAATGATCAAGAGGGTGAAATTTAAACCCCGCTTTAAGGTCATTACACCTTCCAGAATAGACTGGAAGAAAGGTTTTCCACTTGGGGACGAAGTCTGGTATACAGATGGCTCCAAGATGGACTGCGGTGCAGGCTTCGGAATTTATCGGAAAACTGGCCGCATTAAAGTGGCTGAGTCATTAGGACAATATGCCACAGTCTGGCAGGCAGAGGTCTGTGCGATTTTAACTTGCGCCCAAATATCTATCCGAAATGGAACAAAGGGCAAGAGGATTAGTATTTGTGTGGATAGTCAAGCGGCCTTAGGGGCTCTGAAAAATCCCACAATAAAATCAAAACTCGTCTGGGAATGCCGCAGCGTACTAGATGAGTTGGGTTCAGTAAATAGACTTTCATTGATTTGGGTACCGGGACACTCGGGAATCAAGGGTAATGAAAGAGTAGACGTCTTGGCGAAAACCGGTTCCGAGACGAAATTTATAGGTCCTGAACCAGCAGTGGCAATAATGCCATGCTTGGTTAAGGGAGCCATAGAAAGATGGGGTGAAAAGGAACATGAGAAGAATTGGGCGAGCGTTGGGGTGGGAAGGCAAGCGAAAACTCTGTTGGGGTTAGCACTCAACAGGAGGCGAGCGAGCGATCTCCTAAAACTCGATAAGATCAGAGTTAGAACCGCAGTTCGTCTACTTACGGGTCATGGACTATTGAACTACCATCAGCATAAAATAGGCAGACAAGTTTCACCTATGTGCAGACTGTGTGGGGAAAGTAACGAAACTTCGACTCACATATTATCTGAATGCCCAGCGTTAGCTAGGATCAGGCTATCTAGCTGGGGTCAAGCAATTATTGACCCTAAGCAGGTGAGCAACCTATCGATAGAAGAGATACTGGACTTCTGGAGAAGAACAGGACTCTAAGAAGTTGCTACAAACGAGCGAACTGGAGTTTGGTACAATGGGTTCTATAACCTAGGTGCTTACTTTCCCCTCTTGAGGAAAATCCAGCTCGATCTCGGTGTCAGATTATATTAGATTAGATTAGATTAGATCACAATTTCTTAAAACGTAAAATTTTATCACTTTATATAAATTTTTATATTATAATTATTATTACTATTATTATTAATTATTATTAATGCGATCGCCTGGAGCTGCTGGCTTTTAAATTTTGATTAAATAACACAGGCCGACAAAATTTTGGCCAATCTCAGAACCAAGAACCGGACAATACTTTTCCGGAGGTTTTTGACGTGCTGTATCCGAATCTGAACTCAGAATTGCCCTATCACGTCAGGTTTTTGAGATATTCTAACCTAAAAGTGTCAAAAACACGTTTTTTGGGCATTTTTGAAGTCCTGTACAATCAAGAGAAAATTTTTTTCCTAAAAGTTATTTGCGGCATCTGAAAGTACTTTTCTTTCCCTTAAAAAGGCCTTTTGAAACTTGAAAAAATCTTTATTTCTCATTGAGATATCGTCATTTTAAGTTTTTAAATGGTAAATTGGTCAATATTCGTATACTGACCACATTCAAAAACTTGTTGAAATTCAAAAGTCAAAATTTGTTGAAATTTCTTCTTTAATGTTGGTGTTCCATAATATTTTTTGGATTTAAAACATTATCGTATACATTAATTTTCTTAGTCAATAGAAAGTGAGGTTATGTTAGACTCTTGGGAAATACTGTGATTTAAAAATTAATAAGTAAATTTTATTTAAATAATTATTTGACTACTTTTTAATCAGTCTGATTTGTTCAACAAGTCCTTTATTAAATTAAAAAACCTGTTTTAATCATCAAAAAGTAGTTAAAATAAATCAGATAAATAGAAAAATAAAAAAGTAATATTTAATGGAATAGTAACATTTTATTCGTTTACATAAAGCGAAGACCTAGTTCGCGATTCGAGTAATTCTTTATATGAAGAGCGCGCATGTGTAGACTCGACTCGGATAACTTCGTTCAGTCTCGTAACGCGACTGCGCGTCTGGAAGAGTGGATTTGTCAAAGAGGGGGTCTAAGAGTCTTATTTCTAAATCAGCATTTGTTCGAGCACCCTCAATGTTTGTAGCAAGTGATAATTGTAGAACTAGGTCTTTTTAATAGTCTTTTTCATAGTTCCAGGTTTTATTGCATGTTTTTCAGTGTCATTTTTGTGGTTTAAGGTTTGTTTGTTTGATTTGAGTTTTCTGTTTTTTTAGGTTTAAGTAAATGTAAATAAGTTTCTTTGCGTTTCTTTTTAATTTTTTTCTTAGGTTTAAATTTATAATTTCTTTTTAACTACGAAAAAGACTATTAAAAACACCTAGTTCTACAATTATCACTTGTTACAAACATAGAGGCAGCTCGAACGAATTCTGATTTAAAAATGAGACTCTTAGACCCCCTCTTTGACAAATCCACTCTTCCAGACGCGCAGTCGCGTTACGAGACTGAACGAAGTTATCCGAGTCGAGTCTACGCATGCGCGCTCTTCATATAAAGAATTACTCGATTCGCGAACTAGGTCTTCGCTTTATGTAAACGAATAAAATGTTACTATTCCATTAAATATTACTTTTTTATTTTTCTATTTATCTGATTTATTTTAACTACTTTTTGATGATTAAAACAGGTTTTTTAATTTAATGAAGGACTTGTTGAACAAATCAGACTGATTAAAAAGTAGTCAAATAATCTACTAGGAACTGTTTTTTAATTTACATTAACTTGTTTATTTTATTTTACGCAGACAAATTATTTGTTTATTTATTAATAACTTATTATTTATTTATTTATTCATAAAATATTACTAATTGATTTAAAAAAGAAAGAATTCAATACGATTGAAATTTACGAGTTTCATTTCTTATTTAACTATTTATTATTTAAATATTATTCATTTATTATTTGTTTATTAATAAAATGTTATTAATTGATTTAAAAAAGAAGGAATTCAATTCGTTTGAAATTTACGCGAGTATTAGGTAATTTTGACCCTTACCTTGTACACAGAGCCTTTGCTTCAGTGCGCTTTTTGGCCCTGCGCGCAAAGACAAAAAATACAATATTTCCGAAAGTTTAAGAGTCTCCATCGATTTCTTTATGTCAAAATACTCGTGAAATCCTAAGGAATCAAAATATCGCTATTAGAAAAAAATTAAAGATACGCTTATAAACAAAAAATTTGTTTAAACAATATTTTTTAAATTTTTTATTTAAAAAAAAAATTTTTTTGCAATTTTTTTCATTTTAATTGTTTCTAAATAATAAGTAATCCCTGAAAAAATCATTAAAATCCATCCATATGTCTCTGAGATATTGCGTTTTCAAAATTTTAAAAAAAAAATTTGAAAACCCTGAACAACCAAACTTTTAAAATTTTCGAAAATCTTTTTTGGAATTTTTATTTGCATGTATTCCTTTACAATTTCTTAAAGTTTTACAAAAATCGGAGAACTGAGGGACCACTTTGATTTGTTAGGTATGATTTGACCCACTTCTGTCACAAAATCATCGTCTAAATAGCGAACTAGAGCATGTGTAACCTTAGTTGATCTGCTAGTTTCAGCACTTTCCTGTTTATTTGCCATTTTTTATTCTCTTTAATGTGAGACAATAAACGTCATATTAATTAACCTGATATTGTATCATAACAAACGAATATAAGAATAATCTTTAACAAACAGTTGTAAAATCTTGAGTTACCATAGCAACAGTTATTTTGAGAAAATAAATCTAAACTTTAACAATATTTCTGAATTTGCATAATTTAAAAAACAATCATTACAAATTTTTGAATATATCATTATATTTTACAAGTGTTTTCATTATGGCTAATTAAGAGAAAAAACAATTTGAAAATAACGTTTTATTGCTGTATATATATCAAATGCCACATTTTTAATTTTGAAATTTCGAAATATATAAACTTATAATAAAAATGAATTGCAATTAATTCGCAACCAGTGCCGTAAGAGTGTTATTCACACTGTGTTTTACGAAGGATTTCCAGTATTACCAACATAGTTCTAAATATGAATCGAAAATATTTTAAATATCTTCAACCAAATTCTATGGATCCAATACCAGCGAGTACAAAATATCGTAGTTTAAAACGACGTAAACAGGAAGTAAGTCTAGATATGTATTAAAACAAAAAATTCAATGCATTTTTTAATTTTCTAGCGCTTTGAACTTTTTCTTTATTTTTTTCTCTCCAATCTAATATTAAGTGCATTGTGATATTTTACTAAAAAAATATAAGTTATATGCAAAATAATATAATTAAAAGAAATTTAAAAGAGATATGAAATTTTTTATATTTAAATAAATAAATATTTCACTTAGTAATTAAATTAAATAAAAAATTTAATTCATTCATTTTAACGTTAACAATTTAAAAATTTTGTATAACAAACAATTTAAAACAATTTTGTACAAATTCTTAGGAAAGTGATGATGTATGTCAGAAAGAGAAAGCTACTGAAGATAACAACGACATTCAAGATTTTAATATACGCCAGAAAAGGAAAATTACTGAAGATAACAATGATCTTCAAGTATTTGAGACCCAAGTTATCATGGACTCGGTATGTCAGTTTCTTAAAAATTTGAATTTCTAGTAAATAATTGTCTTATTCAGGTTTTCTTATTTATTTATTACTTATTTTATTATCATTTATTTTTAGGAAATTAAAATTTTTGAGGACAATGGTATAAATAATGCTGAAAATTCAACTCTCCAGGATAATAACGAGGTTTAAAAAATTTACTGTTTATTTCTCTATTTAAAGTAAATACAATATAATTGATTCTAATAAGAAATAATAATTACTGGTTAATAATTAAGTTTTAAAATAAGGTTTGATAAACTAATTACAATCTTTTAACAATTATAGGAACTCCTTGTTAATTTTTCTAAAAATGAAGAATCTCAAATAACATCAGAAATAACCAGAGAAAAAATAGAAGCAATTATGACAGAATTGAATGATGAGATAGATAATTCTGCTCAATATTCTTCAGAATATTCAGAGGTATTAATTTTTAACATTTTAAATGAAAATTTTAATATTTTTATTTAATTAGGTTTAAAAAAATTAAATTTATATCATTAGTATATCTTAGAGAAATCACATTTTCACAACTTTATGTCTCAAAAACTAAATAATCGTTTTTTTATGATTAAAAATACAATATTACCTTCACAACAAACAGATATTCCTTATATGTGGACGTCCACATGAAAAGGGACCACTTTGTCGGTTCTAGATTCGGAGATATTCGCAATTTACTAATTTTGAATTTTTTCTGTCATTTCCGACAGTTTACTGAAACATTTTGGATGAAAATATATTTGCTTTATCATTATAAAGGTGTACTATTTTTTTTTTTTTTTTTTTTTTTTTATTGTTTATACTCCTGCCCTATTGGCCTTACGCACTTCGACAAGAGTCCCCGAGAAATACTTTTTTGGATTAAGCATAACCATTCTACTTTAGAAATTTTCTATATATATATTAACCTAATTTTGCGTCTACAGCCGACTTTATTAGGAGTACTCGCATTACGCCTGGACCACCCGTCAATGGGTTTTCTCGCCAGAGAAGAGGGAAACTGTAGAAAACCTCTCTGAGTACAACCGGTTTATCGACAACAAACAGATATTCCTTATATGTGGACGTCCACATGAAAAGGGACCACTTTGTCGGTTCTAGATTCGGAGATATTCGCAATTTACTAATTTTGAATTTTTTCTGTCATTTCCGACAGTTTACTGAAACATTTTGGATGAAAATATATTTGCTTTATCATTATAAAGGTGTACTATACTTAAAACAACTCTCATATAAATAACTTTCCAGAAAAACGAGAGAAACTCGCATAACAATTTTTAATTTCGTGCTTTTAAAAATGATATTTTCGAAATTTCCTAAGATTTTTTTAAAATAAAGATGTTAAAAAAAATTTTTTTAGGACAATTTTCTTTTTTCTTTGCTTAAAATAACTCTAAAAAATAACACCGAAACTTTAAATTCGTTAAATATTCCACTTTATTAATTAATAACCATATTTTTAGAAAAGAGACCACTTTTTCGGAGATACATTATTTTGTCATTGTTAAAAAATAAGGGGGAGAATTCGAATCCAATTCATTTTTAATCTTAACCACTTCACTGGCGGGGCGTTCCAAATGGCGTTCCACGCGCCGAGGCCCAGACTGGCAAAAACACCGAAATGGCGTTCCTAATAAAACATTATTTTTAAAGAGTGTACACTACTTTTAACTTATACAAAGCAATATTTCTATAGTTTAGACATCATGGAACAAGATTATCACAATAAAAATTTCAGTTTTTGGGATTTTCAATGTTTTTTCAAACAATGAAATAGTCAATTTTTACCACTTTTCACCAAATGGCGTTCCACTTTTTTTCAATTTTTACACAGTAAAACTCATATTTTTTATTTAAAAAATATATTTACATACAAAACATTATAATATAATAATGTAATAAGTAAAAAATAAATATAAATAATTAATAAATAAAATTTAATAATTATTAATAATAACAAAAGTGGAACGCCATTTGTTAAAAAGTGTTAAAAATCGACTATTTCAACGTTCAAAGAAACATTAAAAATCTCAAAAACTGAAATTTTCATTGTGATAATCTTGTTCCCTGATGTCTAAACTATAGAAATATTGCTTTGTAGTAGTAAAAAGTAGTGTACACTCTTTAAAAATAAAGTTTTATTAGGAACGCCATTTCGGTGTTTTTGCCAGTCTGGGCCTCGGCGCGTGGAACGCCATTTGGAACGCCCCGCCAGTGAAGTGGTTAAGGGTGTACTAGACTTAAATCAACTCTTATCTGAATAACTTTCCAGAAGAGCCGGAGAAATTCGCATTACAATTTTTAAATTCGTGTTTTTGGAAATGAAATTTTTAATTTTCTCTAAGATTTTTTATAACATACACTACCGTCGGGAATTATCGGTACGGCTGCACGCGCAGGGCCCAAAAACATACCAATCTTCAAATCAAGATTTCTTTGTAAATACAAATGTCAGAAAATTAACAAATATACCATTCGAAAGATTATTAAATTCTACGATTAATGATATGTAACTGAAAATTTTAATAATTTATACAAAGCTTGCAGCAATATACAAATTTGACAAAAAAATTTTTAAAATAAAATTTTTTTGGAAATTATTTCAACCCCTGCACATTTTTTAAAAATTGTAGGAAAAGTGTGAAACTTATATAAGTGTAATCATTGAAATCTCATCTTTAATTTAAGACCAAAAGAGTTAAAAAATCTTATTCAGTTCGAGAGATATCATTATAAACGGCCGAGCATTTTCAGCCAAAAAACGTTCAAAATCGACTAATTCAATGCATTTGTCAAAAAACATGCTCGGACGTATATAATGATATCTCACGAACCGAATAAGATTTTTTAACTCTTTTGGTCTTAAATTAAAGGTGAGACTTGAATGATTACACCTATATAAGTTTCAAAATTTTCCTACATTTTTTAAAAAATGAGCAGGAGTTGAAATAATTTTAAAACTTAAATCAACTCTTATCTGAATAACTTTCCAAAGGATTTGCTCGCCGGATGGAGTCCGGGTACTTTAAATAGTTAAATTCTTTCAATTTAAATATTATTAAATTTCACTTAAATATAAATCATTATAATATTTTATCGAGAGAATTGGTGACGTCAATGAGGTTAGGTAAAGTCAGTAAAAAGACATAAATTAAACCTTCGTAAGAAAGTATATTTTAACAAAAGAAAAATAATAAAAGAACAAAAGAATAACAAAATAAAGAAATGAAGTAAAATATAAAACGTAGTAAAACAAAATTAGATAACAAGAAAATATAAAATATAAAACTCGATATAATGCAAAACTGAATAAGAAAGAAACTATAAAACGCTATTAAGAAAGTTAACAAGAAAATATTGGTCTGCCGTTACTGGCCCAAGGCTACGCCAACGCTGATATTATTCTCCGTTCGCTCTGTAATTATACATGAAATGTGTTTGTAAAAGAATTATAAATAAATTATGAATATAATGACGCTAAATACTCGCGAGGGGTAGTTACTAGTATTAACCCCCTAGATAACGTTAGGGACGAAAACGAGATTGTGCACGCTAGACAGTTTAATATTTTAAACTGGAAACTAGATATCAAATTACGTTTGATATTCTTGTCCTGCTCGAAACTAGTGTGAGTATTATGATGACTCAGGTTGCATCTCCACCAAGTGGCCCCTTGGTATGGAGAATTCACCTGGTGCATCATCTTCGTCAAGAGAGTTGCCCCTCAACTCGACGAGGATGGTTCAATCATAATTGTGTATTAAAAAGTGTAATTGTGTGAGTGTAAGTGTATGCGAATTCTAGTGATAGAACCAACACGGTTGCCCCCATAGAAGGTTTACTGCACTAGAGAGCAGTGTGAGAAATGTGAGTTGAGTGTGTAGTAGTGTAGTGCATGTAGTGTGTGCATTGGTTCCACACGGTAGCCCCCATAGAGCAACCACTGCACTTACGGTAAGAGAGAAAGGAAGCGTAGCGAAGGGTGTTACCCTGGTCATCGGTCGCCCCCAAGCCCCAAAGTACAACTCCTTCTTGGATTTTACATAGAGCTGGTGGTAGCGGTTGCCCCCACATTTCACCTGCCCCGTGCAAAAGGTAAAAGGGTTAAGGGTGAGAGAGTGTGGAAGTGAGCTGCTGTCGGTCTACCTCGGAGCAAGCCCCGAGCTCGACCGGCGGCGAACTGATGAAATTCTCACTGCAACCAAGTATTATAGATCGCCGGGTTTGACAGGTAACTTGTACGGAGAGAGAGCGACCCACGTGCTTGCGCGGCAAAGTATGCACGTTCGGTACTTTCCTCTCAGCCGACGAGCTGAGAGCTCTGTAGTATATATAGATATACTAAAAACATGCTTATACGAAATGATTCTATTTTACGTTAGAAATTAAAACTCTTTCGTTACACTGTATGTTATTTCAATATGATTACCATAAAACATCCATAGAATATTATTTTGCAATATCTTACAAATATCCCGAAAAAATGCATACGTTATCCAAAAGATATCTATAAAATATTTAAATTTTGATACGAAAATTCCCTGCAGACTTACGTTGAAATCTATGAAAAAACTTTTTATAATTTGCTGCAAATTTGATGAACGATTCTTGAGAAAACATGTAAAATTGACATAGTAACTTTTTAAGAAGTATATTTTACTCTATGTAAAGATATCCAGTAGTATCCATAAGATATGGTGTAGAGGGTGTTTTATGTATATCCAAAAGATAACCTTTTCGCCGCCCTTTAGGAAGTCCTGAATATAGCCAAAGGATATCCTTGAGATAGTCCTGCAATATCTGCAGGATATTATCAATACAACCCGTGATATCCTGTGGTATTACGGATTTATTTATTATACAACTATAGTAAAAATATTTTTCTGTGGCGTAGGTAATTTCAGCGTTCCTAGTTATCTCAATAATAAAATCGAAAGCAATTCATAATCCGTAGTGTCGTCGTAATCTCTTGTACATTGATTTTTATTTTTTTTAAGTTAACAAAGTATAAGTGTTTTGCCAAAAATAATACGCTTTGCATTAGTCAATGCCCTTTCATTGACTCAAATTTGTAATTTTATACTCCTCGTTAATTGTATTTTTGTCAATCCGATTCTTCCAGATACCAGATATTTAGTCGATAAATTGTTTTATCGTAAAGATACGGTAGATTTTCATAGAATTTGCAATCACTGCAACAATTACTTGGGTGTATTTACATCTAGTGATCAAGTTATAAAATGCCCCTGTAATGTATTAAAATTATGAATAATAATTGAATTAATTAACAATAAAATTAAAGGTAAAATATTACACAAGAGAACTTGTAACCTTTAATGTTTGGTAGTGGATCCCCTCCTTCCTACTTATTGTTCAAGTAGTGACGTGAGAATCTCTACTGTTTGGAAATAGTGGATTTTAAGGTTTTGGAATTGTTGTGTAGATGCTAATAAAGTTAAACAAATTTACAAAATAATGAGAATATATTATAACTTCTAAACCCTAATACAATTATCTAAATTTCTTCTATTTACTTTATCTTAAAGATTACAATCTTTATCTTCTTTTAAGCATGTGATTCTACACTAGGGTGGTTCTTATTTTGGAAAAGTTGGAATTTCTTAGGTCGCCGGCCGGAATTCGAATTAAAATGTG